AACAGACTCAAATTTATGAGGTAAATCATGATTGACAGCCAATATGATAAAATGGACAAGCAAACGCAGCAATGATAGGAGGTTGGAACTCCGACATGCCAACTGCCGATCTTCTGTTGTTTGTATAAGCTTCTGCAGTTCATTTACTAGAGTAGCGGTAGCCTCAGGATCATGAAAGGGCTAGTCAAGGGAATCCAAAACTGTGATACCCTTTTGTGGCAGGCATGCACGGACCTTTGATGATGATTTGTTGAGCTTATCTGCTATAAAAGCAGCAAATATCTTATTTTCATCCGCTGTGGTTCGCATGAGGGAGACTTGAAAGTGAGAAATACATATGGCGAAAAGACATCAGAACACCGCTATTGAGTGAAACCACATACCACATTGCACTCATTTGCCAATTATATTGTGGAATTAAATTAGATGGTCTTCTTAAACATGACTTTTTACTTGGTAGGTAACATTGATGAAGCTACTACAGAGGCTACAAGCTTAGAATTGGAGAACAACTGGAAGAAATGATCTACAAGCTTATAGAATCAAATCCAACGATCCAATGTAAGGTTCAGTTTGACCACTAGCAACAGTAGATACCATGACTTTAGGCAACCCAATTGGAAGAGATCTGAAAGTTGATGATATTAAAGATGTGCCCCCACTGCCTCCAAAGCCAATTGCTCCAGAAAGAGCACCATCCTCTTGGACTTTTTGTAAGAAATTCTCAAGAGCTCCACTCATTAGAGCAACAGCTTGACCACTAAAATCACCTGAACCTGCAATTACCAATAAAAAATTCTGAAAACAAGTCCTTCGTTTAGTAACTATGATACACCAAGTCCCCTGAAAATCCTAAATGTAAACCAAACCAACATAATATTTGGCCCATACCTTGGTTTGAGTGCATCATCATTGAACAGGGTCCATGCTAATGTCCTCTATATCATTTCAATTCTCATATCATTCAGCTACTACATTAACTAACCATAAATGTGGAGTCTGAACTATTTCTGATTGGTGAGTACCATATTCCAAGAAATTCCCAAGTTTTGTTAAGCTAGTGCATTTGTCATTTCATTATAATCAACAAGAAATAAAACCCAGAAATCAAAATCCGAGATTTCTTAGTTTCTTTCAGTAGAACTATTTATTGATGCGTTTTTATTGATCATTCAATGGAGTTAAGTAATGACGTATCTTAGAAGAAGACTTGGTGAAGGAGTTGAGATTGAATCTGACTGAATCAGAGAGGAACAGGAGCTCGTCGAGCTTGGTATCAGCCGTCCCTATAAAGAAAACTTGAGGATTTTTGCAGAGATGAGCCATATTTTGGAGGGTCAAAGACTCAAAATGGTTGTCGAGTGAGAGATAGAGAGAGAGGGGATCTTAATTTTGTTAACGCGTGCTTTCTAACTGATAACGGCTTTCATATTGGCGCGGGAAAGTATTGGCAATGACCTATTGTGTGCCGCTAACCATAGATGTTTTCTCCCTGCTAATATTATTATTTTCTTTTCTTTTCTGTCATTAAAATTTGCTTTAGTCCGATTAAAGTTGTTATAAAAGATTTTGTGTGCTTTGATGCTGTGTTAAGTAAGCCCTCAGTCTCCTAAAAAAATTTCGCCAATCTTGAAATTAATCTCAGAAAAATTTTTTTTTGTCGAATATTATAGGTAAAAAACAAACTTGCATGTAATTATAAAAACATCTACAAAAGAGAAATTTTATGGTGTATAATTAATAACCAGTAGTATACTATTAATTATTTTTTAAATTCATTTTTTAAAAATATATATAGATATAAATTGAGAACTGTTTTTTAAAAATAGATATAAGAAATAACAAATAGGATGTAATTTATTTCTTGTGTGTCTTTTTTATAAATAAACTCTAATAATTAATAGAATATCACCCGTTATTTCTTTTGTACAACATAAAATTTTCTTTAAAAAAACATGTAACAAGCATTTACAAAAAAAAAAAAAATTTAAAAAATTAAATATCATTTTACAAATGAAAAGATAAAACAGTTTTTTCAACTATTCACTAATAACTACTTTCTTTGTATATTTCAATTGACACTCAGTTTTTTTAATCAAAACTCATCATTGAATTAATAATAATAATAATAATAATAATAATAAAAAAAGAATTCTTCAATATCTTGGACTTATCTCATACAAAGATGGGAGAATCTAAGGATTCATCCTTTGTATAATATATGAATACGATCGTCTTTGCTGTCTAGCATCTATGGAAGAACATGCTTAGTTTTTACTTGTTATTTTGAATGCATCCCCTTGTCTAGATGAAGGAGAAAATGACAAACCATTAGATACGTAAATATTTGATTATTTACGGTATTTTCATTATATTTTATTTAATAATAAAAATTCTTTTAAACTAAATATTACAACTTCGTCGTCAAATTAAAAAAACAAAACGAACCACCACCTCATAGCCAGGAATTGAGTGTACGTCTTATCCACTTGTAAGAAAACACCAACCAACTAACCCAGAAACATATGCATATGAAAGATTCTAAGATGAGTCTGGAACGATTTGATCTCATAACCTGGTTAAATTCTTTAAGTAAGTTAATCGGCTTGAGCAACCTCTTTCACATGATTGCTTTAACATAAACACTCTTTAATGTTGGGTTGCTGCAAAAACAGTCACTTGTGCATCAAACATTACAATCTCATAATTAACATGTCCCAAGGTCTCAATCTTTGAGCAAGCAGTTAGTAAAGGATTGAGATCGAATGCTGAATATCGACATAAATTAAAGAAATAGATTCCAAACGAGGGAATCTCTGGTAATTGGGTTTTAGCTTTCATCTACTACATTTTAACAAGCCTTGTGCATGAGCCAAGCAACAATTATATATTGAAGCAAAGAACTTATCTACATCATCCATCAAAATTGACAAGTCTTGTAACATAGTAGTTTGAAGTATTGTTTGAGTTATTGGTATCTCTAGCCGACTAGTTTGAGATCATGATGAACATTTCAATAAATGGAATTGAATGAAAGAGTGAATGCGTTAGCGACAAGCTTCTCACCACTGCCAACTTGTTCCAGAGGCTATCAACATGTCCCAAGCACTTCCTAGCCGTGACAAAATATTCCCAATAACTTCAACTCGAAGATATTACATTACTTGGAAAACAAATCCCTAGGGTTTCAAATCCATATTTGTTAATAAACACCAACCAACTAACCCAAAAGAATACCCGTATGAAAAAAAAAACCTTGATATTCTCCTTTAATCCATATTTGTTAATTAAACGCCCCATGAAATTAAGAGAAGATATGTGTTGTTTAATTGATTTTTTAATTTAATATATATAAGAGTAAATTGATTATTTTATTGGATTAAAAAAAAACCAATATAGAATGTAAGGTCTAACTTTTCAAAACTTAGTAGGCAAATGTAATTTTGACTAAACTATAGAATTATAGGGGTTATTTGTTTTAATGATAACAATAATTTGCATATTATCCAGATTAAATTTTTTATTTGAACAATCTTAAAGACACTTCCCTCGTATCGACCTAATATAATTAATTTTTTTAATAAGCTTCTCTTAATAACAAGTGCAAGATTTAAATCAAATAAATTAAAAAATAAATCATAATATATTATCTAAATCATAAGACAAATCTCTTAAAGTTATGTGGATTAAAATTGATGAGTAAAAAATAATAATAATAAACAACTTGGTTGTCCATTAAGACAACCTTCTTCGTTAATAGGTCTGGGTTCAAGCAAATAACCTACCCGTTAAGCTTTAGAGGTCCATAATAAATTGTATTTGAGCATCGACTTAGGTCATAACCATTCTAGAATTGAATCCCTATCTTATGCAAAATTCTCAAAGAGTCCAACATTGGCACATATAACAATGTAGTGTTATGATCTTTAAAAAGTACAACCATGAAAGCTTACTTTTCTAGAATCCCTATCTCATGCAAAATTCTCAAAGAGTCCAACATTGACACATATAACAATGTAGTGTTATGACCTTTAAAAAGTACAACCATGAAAGCTTACTTTTCTAGCTACACCTCATGGTGCTACAACATTTTATTTTTAACCTTATGGTGCCATAACTTTTTATTTTTACAAACATGAAAATTATTAGTGTGGCGCCTAGCTTTCCCGTCAATGCTTATAACATGCCCATATATCTCACAAATAGCTTCAATCAATAGTTAACTCAAGACAAAGGTAATTATTCTTCATGATTAAGCTCACATTATATTTCTATAGCTCCATGCCTTATGAGGTAATTTTATATGACCAAATGTATAAATATTTTAGGTCATCAAGTAACAACACTCAAGGCCACATGAGATTGCATAGCAAGATAACAAATCACTATCTTAACATGCACTCTCCTATATTTTTGTTCTCTTATATTATACATTATTGACTTAAGTATTGAAAGGCTATCTATCTTGATAAGAAACTTGTTTTAATAGGATAACAAAATGATTAAAGCCCAAACACCTCATCCCAGATACAGCCATGGAAAACCCAATTCCAATTTAAAATTTTTATGACTTTATTATTGGCGTTGCTTATGGGAATTAAATGAAAGCTAGTTCATTTCTATTTTAACCTCGTCCAAAAGTTCTTTTATGATAGATAATGACTTAGAACACACCAGGTTATGGAGAATAATCGACCTCCCTACTATAAGTACATTTGCTCTTTCAAATCTTCAAACTTTCCATTAAATAAATGTTTTATATAAAGTTGTTTTAGCTATATAATAATAGTTTTGCGCTCTTTCACTTCATCAACAAGTGACTAAATACCTAGTTATATTAAATGCATCATTGAATGAATATAGACATCCCTAGTTCTCTAAAGGAATATGGTAGAATGACATATAAAAAAATAAGCATGAGAATACTTATATTCTAACCCTCCAATAAAGTTGCTCATACTATAAAAGGCGTTCTCAAAGTTGATGCTCCAAATGTGAACTCTAATGGTAAGAAACTAGAGCCTCAACAAGTCTTAGTTGCAAGAATAACTATCGTAATCTCACTTTTATAATCATAATAAAAAAGACCTTAAAGCGAGAATAGACCAATATGAAAAGCTTTTAGAAAGGAATACAATCCCCTTTAAGTGAAAATTTTCTAATTTATCATTAAGTAATGTACACTTGTCTCCCTGAGAATAACGTGTGTACCAATACTAATTTAAATAATTATGACGGGCATACAAACTCAAGAGAGCATGTATATAATATATGAAATAGCTTGGAACTTGTAACACAAGATAGTATTACTATATGTAAAGTCTTTTCGACAACATTTTACAAATCTTCTTAGGTGTGGTACCATAATCTAAAATCCAGCTATATCCTTGAATTTTATGATCTTTGTACTAAACTCATCTTTAATTTCAGTACAAGCATATTAGTTTAAAATAGAATAACTAAGATCTTTACTATTATACAATGAGAAGACGAGAGAACCAAAACATATCTCCAAAAGTTTAATAAGAAAATACATAACATAAAAATATACTTTAACCTATTAGAACTAAAGTCCTAATTGTTAGAGTCTAAAACTATTCTTTGTAGAAATGACTAATACTTTTCTTGACTAAAATCTTCTTAAAAAGAAATAAAAAACAAAAAATCATATTAAAGTAAAAGAAGTGAGAGTCATGAAGCAAAAAACACCCTCGATTCCAATAATAGACAATAAAATCTCTTAAATGTCATCGATATCTTAACAATCTTAGGGCTCCCAAAAAGAACATAAAAGGATCCATTCACGATTGACTAACATTTCCAAAGCTAATGATTGCCACGTATATTGGGGTATTAGCTTCCATAAAGATAAAGAAATTCATGCAATATCCTATTCCAATAAAAAGTGGAGTGAAAACCAAAAACTCCTAATATTTTTTTTTTTAACCATGACAATAAACATGACACCATAAATGTTAAGCCTTAAAATAAAAGATAGAAATATTAATCACTAGGGGTTACCTTAAATAGTTTATAAGAAAGAAAGTTCAACTCGGATAGCAAGAGAAAAGGGTCATCGCATCTCATAATATGTTGTCTAAGATTAGATAGTTTGTTGTGATTGTTTCTTCATTTACATAAAAGAATCTTTTGAAATTTGTTTAATGATCAATATTATCTCCCCAAATAGTCATGATATTATTTATCTTCATATCTCTAAATAAAATCTTCAAACAAAATCTATATATCTTTAATAAAATCTCCTTACAAAATCTCCATATCTTCTAAGAATGATCTCTCTAAATATTTATTATGGCAATTTCTCTATCAATCTATCATTGTCATTGACATAATTCTAGCCATGAAAAAATTTATATTTTTATAAAACATTTTCCATGTTATTTCCTATATTTTGATAAGAAGAAATTCATAAGTCTTTCAAATTACATATAATTTTAAAAACTTGTGAAGCAACTAATAAATTAAAAAAGAATATAACCAAGCTATTTGTGTAGGCTTTTAGTCCTTTATAAACAATTCTATTAGCTAATGAGCCTTGTCTAAAAAACAACCATTATCTATTAAGTTTTAGGAATACACAACCAACCATATTTGGACCTCAACCCAACCCTTAACTATTCAAGGATTTGCAAGCTCACTTCTTTTTGAAGCCTAGGCTTAGCATAAGTAATAATATAGTGTTATGATATTTAAGAAGTTAGTATGGATTGGCAAGCTCACTTCTCTAGTTAAGCCTTGTTAATATAATATTTTAATGTTATATACTAATGAATGCATAAATTGTTAGACTTTCTTACTAATGGCTATCACATGCCTACTTGTATCGTCAATAGTTTTCACCAATCATTACCTAAGTTGTAAAAATAATTATTCTCCATGATTATGCTAACTTATGTCTATAACCTTATACTCTAGAAGATAATTTCATATGAAGTTTTAATGACTTGATTAAAAAAGTACTCTATTAATTAATTAATTCATAATGTAATATTATTAGCTATAATTTATTTTAACATATAGGATTGACTTTGTTAGATAGACAAGATTGATGTAATAATTTCATGATGTATATCAATAACAAATTCTTTTTTGACACGTTGAGATCTCGTCAAATCTATCTCATATAAGGGAAAATAACCTCTACATTTTGGGTAAGATTTCAAGTTAATTTTTAATATTTGTGTTATGGATGCATTTTCAAGTATCATAAATCTTAATTGGAAAAAACATTGCTTAATAAAATAAATTATGAAATAAATTAAATGATAAAAAAAGAGTGTTAACACTAATTATATAATAAAATTGGAAGCTAATCTTCCTAGTGAAAAGAAAAGGATAGATACAAATACATATGTTTTACTTCACCTATCTATTAAATTTTATATAATTTTATTAATTTTTTGTTAAGGTAAATTTGTGTTGCCAATAACAAACCTTTTTTTTTTGTTTTTATGAATAGAACATTTAATACAACTCATTTATGTAAACAAAATTGGAGGAAAAAATTATAGACAAATTATAATAATCTCTTCAAAGCATTATAAAATTAAAAAAATATTTTAAAAGATTATTTTGGAAGTCAACTATATTGGCAAATGACCTATCAATGTCTGGTTAATTTTCTGGTCATCTCAAGCAATTGAAAACTAGATAATCCTAATCTTTTATACTATGTTTATGGAAAAAAATTACTTTCATCGAACTTTTATTTTGAAAAGATGGGCTTACTGAAGCAAAAAAACTTAGTCATATAGTGGCATGGATGTGACTGTACAAGAGCTTTTTCTTTCTTGTAAATTGTCCATCAACTTCCTCTCTCCTTACTTAACACAGGGATTGAAATATAAAAAAATAAAATTTTATACCTAAATGTTAATTAAAAAAAATAAGGATAAAGTAATAAAAAGACTAAAAATTCAAAGTTTTGCATGAAAAATAGTATTTACAATTATTTACATTTCAGATAATGCAAATTAGATGGAATATATTAAAAAAAACACAATAATAATTTAATATGAGATAATAAATAAAAAGTAAAAAATAAAAATAAAAACTTTGAAGACAACTAGCCAAAAACCCATATGGTTTAGCTTTAGTTTAATACAATATTCACAATAATGCCACATCTATTATATCATATGGAAATTTGAGGGGAAAGAATAATATGCTTGACTACTTTCCATTAAAAAAATTCAATATGGCAATTGTGATGTTTGAAATGTCACATGACGGAGCATGATGGGTTGGGCTCATAACATGGGGCCATTGACATTGGCATGGGCATGAGATATACTTGCCGACACTGATGACAAGTGTGTGGATCATGGATTTGGGCTTTCTCTTCAGGCTTCTTCTCTTCGGGCTTCTTCTCCTCCGGCTTCTTCTCCTCCGGTTTCTTCTCTTGTGGCTTCTTTTGCCCATCTTGTTTTGGTGGTGCCGGAGGTGGCCCTATGCTCACTACGTCTGCATGTTTCCCTGTTTTTCTTGTACGCATTATTATCTCATACGGGTCTGCATTTCCTGTTACCGTTAATGTTCCCTTCGCTTGATCAGCTTCAATCTTATCTACACCTGCGTATAACATCAAATTTGAAGATGACATCAATATATATATATATATATGTAAAATATGAGCATAGTATCAGAACTTCTATGATCATTGTAGTTTTGAGTGAACTTTTTTTTATTCTTTTACAATAGAAAAATTTGTAGAAAGAAATTAGTCAGAGCATATGGGATGTCGAGAAGTGACACTAGCTCCCACGGCCACGTTATGTGCGAAATTTTCCAGCCAGCTTAGCTCCTTAAAGACACGAGGAAACTAACTATGATCCAATCTCTTAGGAAACCATAAAACTAGTATGTACTGTAGAACATGAGATTGAAGATTTTGTCATTTCAATCTTGTACCACTTTAATAATCGAACACTAACCATGATTTATTAGATGTTTCTAATCTTTGGACCAAACCATAATAAAGTAAATGATTGAATATCACTCCAAGAAAGAGGGAAACATAAAACAAATGGTTAACAAAAGTCTGGGCTTACCTTCAAGTGTAGACACAGCTTTTAGAAGCTTTTTCTTGCATTTCTCGCATGAAATATCAACCTTCAAGACTGTTCTTTGTGCCATGAGTGACACACTATTTCCTTTCCAAGCTCGGTCTTAAACTAGCTTTGAGCACCTTAGGATCACTCATGCATGCCATTTTTAAATTCGTAAGAACCTAATAAAGAAGAGAACCGTTGTAACGAATCATTGGTTGTTCACCTTCCAAGACAAACTTCTAGAACTTGTGCCTTCTTGCAATTGTCTTTTATCCCTGGTCTACGCTACTAACAACCTTGATTTTATGTTGGATTAAGCTAATAAACTTTGGAGATTCAACCCCATTTTCTTGACTTTTCTTTATGTTCTGGTTTTTTTATTCAGATGGATATATTTTGCTGGTTTGATTCATTAATTCTGCAGGCGGTTGACACTAGATGCAACCTTAATTTACACATGTTGCAATCAGTGTTCACATGTTGACAACCAAATGACCTGCAAGTTGCATTGCCCTCACCCACCCTGGGCAGGGAAACAATTAATTATGATTAGATAATCACTGAAACAATAAATTTAAGTATTTGGAGGATTTAATTCGGAGGACGGAAATTAATTTGATTATTGAAAGTTGTGCTTATTGAAAACGTCACGAACAACAAACAATCAATCATGGGTCTTAATTAGTCTTTATTTCACTTAGTTGACCGAGTTTATAAAATTTTTGTTTCGAAGTATTGATCAATATCATGCCTCTAAATTTAATGAAACTCTCAAAGAATTCTCGATGCGTGATATGCGTTGTGCTTCCTTTGGGTAGCTAGCATACTATGTAGTTCTTAGCATGTCAATCAATATATCCATTAGCACTCTCAAAGCTGACTTGTTCCTGTCATACATTACATCTTTAAAGTTAGCATATTTACACCCCTAACGTTGGCGGTGTATGGATTGGATGAGGGTCAGTGTTTATATTGTACGTGTTCACATTTTCCTCGAATAATATTCAATCATCTCTGATTAACATACTGACATGTTTTTTAAATGTTTTACATAATTCAATATTTTGTCAAATCACGCCTAAATGATAATCATATTTATCCTTAGATTTATACGAGTGAAAGTAAAGTTGCTACGAAAGCTTATAAAGGATAGAGGCAACTTGACCTATTTTGATTAGGTGTTGATATAGTTCTCTACATTTAGTTGTAGGGACATTGCTGGTTTTGGTAAAATGGTTGAGTATTTTGGTAGTATAGGTATTGTTAGTTATGGTTAATAGGTTATGTATGTTGTGATTAGGTGTTCTGAGATATGGTTTGAAGTTGGTATTACATAAATTGTGTGGCTAGGGCAAATATGCCAGCCATAATACCAGTTGAGATATTTTATAGTATATGATAGACATTATAGAATGGAAAATATGATGGAGGAGTGACATTTATTATGTTATTTTGCGTGAAGTAGAGGGGAAAAAAACATTTCATAATGGTTTCTATAACCTTGTGGCTAATAAATGTGACCAGCCATGCATATGATGTACTTTTATTTCTTTTTTATAAGCTTTTCTTCATTTTTTATGTTTAACTATCTTATTAATTCTTTCATCTTTAATGGCCTACTCCACTTGTTTAACCATGAGTAAAATATCCATAAAACTAGTAGATTTGTTTTCTAACATGTACTCATAGAATAGGATCTTAAAAATATTGATGAATAGGGTGACTAACTGTTTCTCCTATAAATAAAGCTAGATTCGAGCTTTGGTTTATTTCTTGTTAACATGACATATTTCTTTATTGAATCTTTATCATTTTTCTTCACTAAATGTAATCTTGATTGATTAAGTGTTACTCTCATGTTGAATTTCTACAAACGCATGAATATATAAGCCAGATCTTTTCATTTTGTGATTTTATTCCCATCTAAACTCATATATCAAAAAAGATTAGCACTACTTAGACTTTTAGGGAAGAAATTAATAAGAAGCTTTTCATCCTAGATTACCTCTGTAAGTTTGCTATAATAAATCTTCAAGTGGGTTTTAAGGCATTTAACATTAGTATTCATGGTGAATTTAAGCACTTTGAAATTTTATGAGATAACTACAATTGGTACCAAACATATTTTACATTCCTTTACAAATTGATACAATCTCATGTCTTTAATATCTCTTATATGTTTTTCAATTGCTAAGAATTTGTCAACTTAACTCTTCTTTAGGCCTTACAGTCAAAACTTTTTCCACTATATGTTTTAGAAAAGGGTCAAACCTCACTTGGTAATAAGATAGAAACACAAAAAAGAAGGATGAGAAGCTTTTGGTAAATAAGTATCAAGTGTCACTTTTAAGAATCCTTAGTCAAGTGATTCAATATGGGTAATAATCTATTTCTAAATTATCCTTTTAAGGATAATTGTTGAGTAATAAGAGACCTTAAAGATTAGGTAGTAACCTAATCTTTGTGTACATAATGACTAAAAATTACATTTAGGTTGTACCTATGTAATCTCACAAGTCCAACCAATATATGGCATTTTGATTTCAGAACCTTTAGGTGGCAAATAGATGCCATAAAGAAAGTATACAAGTGTTTGAGTTATTGTAGTTGAAAAAAAAAAACTATTTAGGATTAGATATCCATGGGCTATTTAAGCTTAAAGATAGATAAGACTGGATAAGGAGCTTAAAGTTAGATAAGACTGGATAATGATCTCCTTGTTTTTATGATAATAACATTAGGTTCCTAAATCTATAAATGGCGACAATTATCACCAGGTGAAATGAGAAGCCATATTTTTTTTTCCTTTACATGCATCATTATGCTTACAAACAAGATTTGGGAACCAATCCTTTAAAATCAATCCTATTTTAATTTTTATTTTTTTGTAAAAGTTGCTTACCTTTCATTTAATTGTGAAATATAGGCCTTTTTAAGTACCGATCCTTTAAAACCCATAACACTTAACTTGGAAAGAGAATTATAGATGATTATGATAGGGCACAGTTGGAAACCTACCCTTAAAGAGAAGGATAATATCGAGAGAGAGCTTGATATGCTTCTTAATATACTCGAACAAACCTTACCATCCAAATCATCAGGAGATGGACCATCAACACAACTTGTTGCTACTGCCTTACTTGCACCTAGACAAGTACCCTCTTTCACTTTCATTCCACGAAAGTTAAAGGAAAATGACACCATCAAAATCCTATACTTGAGTGCTAATAAAACATAGATGTTGCTTTGGAAGCTAACTCAAGAAAGAGTG